AAACTGCATCACAGTAAAAGGGACATTGCCACAAACCCCCTTCAGAGGACTCAGAATGCTCGCCTCAGTTCTAGCACAATCATACCATCATACTTGGCAATGCGTCTTTTACTGTAATACAGCTTTTAATTTTACTGTACTTTTTACAGTTCTTAACTTTACAATGTGTCTTTTACTGTGATAAGTTTTTTACAATTTAAACATACACTATATTTTGATCACCCCTTGTGTATGTTTAAATGATACTATTTTGGTTATACTTGCTTAAAGAAGATATATTATTAAGATCAATTTCATTGGTTTCTTTTTACATCCCTTCGCCTGGCTAATTAGCCATAGTGGTCATTCACTTCCTTAGACAGGACTGTGTATTAGACAGGACTGTTCTTTTGACCGGAGGAGACCTGGGATGGCAATCACAAGCCCATGGCACTGATGGTCTCCCTGGCTGGCCTGAGGAGCCAGTTCTCTGTGGGAGAACTCATGTCTAACTCAACAGGTGCAAGACAAATCCATATTAGTTCAAGAACCGGGGTGCTCCAGGAGGGGACCCCGGACGCACAGCAGCACAACCACCGGCTCAGTGATTTCCGACACATCTCAGGTGGTGCGAGTGAGGAGTGTAAGAGAAGAAGGAGCTCAGTGACGCCCCAAAGGCAGCAGACATCAGCTCCTGAAATATCCGTCCAAAGCTGTCCGGCACAGTGACGTGACCTACGCACAGAACTTTGTTCTCCAGTTGCCCCATTCAAAAACGCACAAGAAATCAACTTGCCTGGGTGTCAGTTAACCCACTGTATTTTACGTGTTGTTGTTTCAACATTTAATTGTTGTCAACAATTCTTTTGCTTTCTTTTTATGATGGTGACGTCTTTGAGTCCGGTGTGTATGGCACACTAGACTCCCCATACATCCCCAGCACGGCTGTGCGCGTGGCCGCTGGCTGTGGGATGAGGCAGTGCAGTTCTACTCGACTTCCCCTCGAGGCCAATAGGAAGAGGTTTCAAGCAGAAGCATGCTTTAGAAAAATCTCTCCGGCAGCCACAAAGAGACAAGCTCAAGGTCCACGGGCTGTGGGCTTTCCCCGGGTGATGTCACCCACTGGGGTACCATTTATAAACTGGGAAGCAGAGTCTGCATGTGCGAGCTTTACCCTGCCAGAATGCGACCTGTGAGCGGCTGGAGGTGTCCTTAGCAGCAGCCCCTCTGAGATGTGACCAGTTGTGGAAAGGAGACCCCAAGCTTTCTCACTACCCCCCTGTGGCTACACCCCCATTCAGATGGCGCCACAGCAAACCCCTGGCGAGTGTCCTCTTTGGATTTCTCATCTGTAAAAAGCAGATGCAAACACCTGAGAGGCTGGGTGTGCAGAAAAAAATGAAGCAACACATGGAAATACCACATGCTGCGTCTGATAAAGAATTGATCAAATATGGCAATTTCTTTCCAAGTTGTCATCAGAACTGTTCCTGCCTGTCTCTGAGAGGAGGCTAAAAGATAGAAATTTTAACAGCATGTCTGGGGATCAGATGAATTAAGTGATCTCTTAGAAATCCTCCCAGCCCTTTATCCATCTTCAAGGAGCCAGTTCTTTCAGAAAGAAATGTCCCAAAACATGCAGATTAGAGGCAGCCCTGCAGGGGGCTTTTTTTCTCTAACATCACAATAAGCTTTAACTGATGAGAAAACAGCTTTTCTGTTTCCCTGGGCTCCATCTCATTAGAAAAACAGCTTAAAACCTGTTTCTAATCTCCAAGGAGTTTCCAGGTGTGTAATGACTTGGCAGAAAGGTAAACAACCAAATTCTGGGAAGCTATTATGTGAGACATTAGCAACTCCGTACTTCCTTCCGCCTCTGAGAATCAAATGAAGCGGCTTAGTCTGGGTGGAATTGGGAAAAAGCACTGGCTCTGAGGTCTTGAACAACTCACTTTTTTTTTTTTTTGGTACTGGAACCAAACTCAGGACCTTGTGCTTACCAGGCAAGCTCTGTGCCGATGAGCTATATCCCCAGGGACAACCTCACTTTGAACCACAGTTATGTCACCAATAACTGTAAATCTTACAGCAAGTTGCTTCTATTTTCTTAGCATCAGGGTACATATCTGTGAAATGGGAGTCGTATATCATCCAAGCCAAGAAATATGTTTGTAAAGGGAGAATATATGGAATAACTGTCACTCTGCTTACTCCCAAGTCGCGCTGGCTCCCACCAGCATTGTGATCTCCTGGGTTCTGTGAGGGGAGAATCTCCAAGCTGTGGTTGAGCCAGGATCTTTGGCTCTCTCCAGGCCACAGCTGAGGTGGCAGGTGGGGCTCTCAGAGCATTTAAGAGCCCACTGGAATACGCTGCCCAGCTCGCTCAGGGTGGTTGGCAGCATGCAGTTCCTCAGAGGCCCCTGGGCTGCAGATCCCCATTCCTGGCGACTGCCCACTGGAGTCCCCACAACTCCCACCACATGGGGAGCTCTACAGCCGGGCAGGGTGTATCATCAGGGGGAGGGAGTGAGGGAGTCTGTGATGTGGAAGTCGCAGCCTCCACAACCTGCCCTTGAAAGGGGCGTCCTGCACGTCTGCTCTTCGCGGTTGGAAGCAAGTGTAGTCTATGTGAAGGTGTCACCAAAATCAGGCGAATTCTGCCACCGACTGCCGTCCAGCAGAGAGGCAGGCTCATACGAACATGATGGTGCATCCTCGTCCAACTTACTCACCAGGTCTGGAACCAAGTGAGTTCTGGCTCTTCCCCTAAGTCAAAATGGGAAACATTTTGAACCAGTTTAGGACATCAAAGCAGCCGCAACAGCACAACTAAAGACACTCATGAAAGAAGACGTCCAGAGATGCTTCAGAAAGTGGCAAGAATGATGGGATAAGTGTGTTTGAAATGAGAGGGTGTATGTAGGGGGGCGATGGCAGTGTGACGTTTGATCTAATAAATTTTTTAAAAGTAAACCTTCACTACATTTTTGATCACGCTTCCTACATAGTATACCATTGTGTATAAGGGACTTGAGCATTCACAGATTTTGGTAGTGATGGGTGTTCTAGAACCAGTCCTCTGTAAATACCGAGGGACAACTGTGGAAGCCATTATTATGACCAAATGTGAAAGAACTTCAGAAAGTAAAGTTCCCCCAGAAATACAATGAAGCTGCCGAATTTTATATCAGGGTCAGAAAATTTAACAATCATATGGCACCGCCAGTCTATAAAACAGATTTATTCTAATACAAAATTACCCAAAGGCTGCATTTAAAAATATTTAATTTTTTTTTTGGTATCAGAAATCAAACTCCAGACCTTGTGCTTGCCAGGCAGTCACTTGTGCCACTGAGCTATATCCCTGGCCCAAAAACATTTAATTTAAAATATTAATTTGATAACATAGTAATGAGTAACAATATTTGCACACTATACTTAAAAGCACATGTTCCCTACATTTGTGTTGTGCATGTGTGCATGTGTGCATGTGTGTGTGTGTGTGTGTGTATAGCTCCCTTTCTTGTTGTTTTAGAATATCCATGTTTTATGGAGATTTAAATAAAACAGTGCCAGTTTTCCCACTTAGCAGTATTACAAAAGCATTTAATCCTGCTGTGTATTCTTTCTAATTAGTTGCATATATCTTTCTATTTCTCAAAGCTACACACTATTTCCATTCAGTAGATAAATGGAAGCGCTGTTGTTTATTTAACCATCCCCTTTCCTGGTGACATATAAGTTGTTTTGATGTCTTGACATTAAAGCAAAATGACTATTTCTTATGTGGTACCCCCCACAAAAGAAACCTGAATTATGTCTTTAGAATAAACTCCGAGAAAAGCAATTTGAATGCATACGTTTTAATGGTTCTGTCAAGTTTGGATCCAAGAGAAAAGGTTTGGTTTTTGTGTAAGCAAACACTGCTCCATCAGCCACGGGCGAGTTTCTCAAAGGCAGGGACCATGCTGTACTATTTAATTCTTCTTTAATTACGGCATCTAGCCTAGAAGTAACATTTACTGTTTGTGAACTGAATGAACAAAAATATTTGAAAATATGAGACTTTAAGAAAAATATTTAGGCTAGCTCGATTCTAATTGTGTCCCCAGGGTTTCGCCAAGTCATTCAATTGCCCAGTCTGGGCTTGAACTTGCGATCTTCCTGTCTCAGCGTGCTGGGATTTCAGACGTGTGCCATCGCACCCAGCATAAATTTCTTTTTTAAAAAAAAATTAAGAGATGTTGCATTTCCGTTAAGATTTCACTAAGACGTGGAGGACAAAGCTCCCAGGGCTCTGTGATGCCTTCTTCACCCGATTTACCACAGCGCCCCCTACCTTTCATTTTACGCATAGCCACAGAATGAAGCGCTCATAGCGAATGGATTGTCACACCCGCTCTTTTTGAGAGCCCCAGGGGACATCCGGTGGTCTGCCAAGCCACCAACACTGGAAAGGCACCTCAGGTCCTCTATTGTGGGCAAAATACTCATTCTGAAAGAGAATTCCCCGTAGATGGAGGCAAAATTTCTTCCCAATAACCAGGAATTGTGGGAATTTTCCTGACTGCAGTTCAGCCCTGGGTGCTGGATTTCACTAAATCATGAGTCAGAGTCATATGACACTTAAGTAAGAAGGGCTCAAAGGGTCCTCAGAATTCTTCCATTGCTCAAAACAGTCTGACTGACATCCCCTGCCACCCTGCGTCCTGTACCTCTTGGAACTCCAGGGAATCTTCACCTATTTTTCTAAAAGGAATTTTTCTACACATTTCAGGAGTCTATAACGCTCATTTTTTTTTTTTAGACCCGGGAGACTTTTGCACGGGATCGGAATGTGTGGATGGCACAACCAGAATTTATTTGCACCCAAGTCCAACCTACATTGCTGGTTGGGGTACGAAACTTGGGCTGCAGCGCCCCCTGGCGGGAAGCCGACGCTTTGGCTTTTCCGGGCCCCCTTTACACCTTAGCCTCGGTCCCCCTAACCACCACGTGTCTCTCCCCTCTCTCTCTCACAGGTGAAGGAGGCCATGCAGCGGATCCACGACCGAGGGAACATCGGAAAGTTAATTCTGGATGTAGAAAAGACCCCCACTCCGCTGGTGAGTGGAAAACAGAGAGATCACTCAGCATAAGAGGTGGACCAAAGGTCCATGAGGTCTAGACGCGGCCGGGGTGGAAGGGAATGCAGGCTTGGTAAGGGGATCTGGGGGAAGGAACACTTCCGGAAATGAGGGGTTAGTCTGAGTCGAGAGCACGGCTAAGAAGGAAAGGCAGTTCCCTCCCCACCTCACCCATCACATGCTGCCTTATTTCCTGCTGTAAGCTTGTGATGACGGTGTACTTATGCTAAATATCTATCAGAAGGAGTCGCTCCTCACTGTGAATGAGCAGGTAAGGTATTTAGGGGGACCCTCGAGTGCATTTTCTCCTGCATCACTGAACTCTCTCGAGGAAGTTCTTCCTGCGGGGCCTCGTCACATCCTCAGAGAGGGGGAGGGGTGGGTTGCCGAGCCATCCGTGATGTCCTCTGTTCAACCCACTCCAGATGGCCAACGACAGCACGGAGACCAGTGAGGCAGGGGAAGAGGAGGAAGACCACGAGGGCGACAGCGAGAACAAGGAGCGGATGCCCTTCATCCAGTAAGCTAAGACCCGGGCGGAAGGACGTGAAGGACCGACCTTGCGGAGGAAGAGGACCGGCTGTGAGAACTCTTCTGTGTCCCAGTGAACAAATGCTGTAGTCCAGTGCGTGTCGTGTTTGTCCGCAGTCAGCTGAGCTAAGAAGCTGTTGATCACTGTTGTTTTTTGGAATTAAGTGCCAATCCCATTCCATGCAGTATTACGTCCCTCCCTGAGCTGTGTGCTGCACCCTTCTCTCTCCCCTGTATCAAAACTATCCACCTCCAGGTCTTTCTCCATGGCTCTAGGAAACCCTTGCAAATTAACACAAACCCCCAGGATGAGAGCAAGTGTGGATGGACAGGTGTTGTCACGGAGCACGGTGCAGGTCCTACCCTTCTGGCCAGTGATACTCTTTGCCACCAGCCACCCATACCTCTGACCAGAGCACTTGCCAATTGGGCTGGCAGAAAGAGAGTAGGCCAGGAGAGGCATTTGTGAGCCCAGAAATGTAGACACTCTCCAAATAGTTCTTTCTGCTCTCTCCGTTGATGAGGTAACTGGTTACATTCATCGCATAGTCTCAAGGCCACAGGTTTGAGCTGCTCTCCCCTGACCCTCTGGGGCTGGATTCTTTCGCTGGTTCTTATTCTTAAACACGGGGACAGGAGTGGGTTTCTTAGGATAGGAGATGTGTCAACAGCATGCGTTTGAGGATGCGTCACAGAGATTTCTCCTCTGAGGCCATGTGACATGAGCATATCCTCCCCACGGCCATATATATTGTATGTTAAGAAAATTCCTCATGTGTAGGACTAATTCAGATGTCATTATGAAGACTCTCCCGTGTTTGCATATTTTACCGATTTTCCTATTTTTTTCATTCCTAGTCACAAGAAACCACCTTCCCCCAAGGAAGGCCTTCCTTCTAGGCCATACATGTTTTCGGAAAATTCAGTGAGTGCTCTTTTGTCTTGCCAAAGCATGTTCCAACATGTGACAAACTCTAGGGATTAAAAAACAGTTGCTCTTAAGCATCTGCCAGATGTGGATTCTCCCCTCTGATACCTAAGATCATGGTGCCAATTCTGTAGAGCCCCTGCTCCTTGCAAATCAGGGGCCAAACTCTCTGACTGCATGCCCTGTTGATTGCACAGCTCCTAAATTCCTGTGAACCCCCACCCTATGCCATTTGCCTGGGCTTGAGAGCTAAATAGTTACCCTGGAGGAAGAGGAGTCCTAGTGTCTCCACAAGGGAGTTCTTCATTCCCTTCTTCCAGTCCTTTTGACCAAAGGGTTAATTCTGCCACTCACAAACCAAGCTAGAAACACAAAGGGGGCCATGGAGTTAGCACCCCACTTACTTTGTGTGATGGAAGAGTGAGAGGGTTTCCAAACGCTCATGTGGTTAGCATTCTTGAAGGCATAAGGAGGTTCCTGCAGCACCCAGCTTCTCTACCAATAAGATGTAGTGTGGACCTAACTCTTCCCCCAAGCGATGGGAACAAATCCATTTCAACAATTTCCTGTTTGATTTCACAAGTCCTTCTGTAGCAAATGTCGCTTCTTTCACCAGGTTCTTTTTTCCTCCTCTGAGCTTGTGATGATGACTTATTTATGCCAAATATTTATATGGAGGGAGTCTCTCCTCATGGTGAATGTACTTGTAAAATATGAAGGCAAGAAAGGGTGCTGAAAGTCAATGAGCTGAAGGATGAGAATATTTCAGAAGAGGATGTCAAGGTCATCCTCCTTTCCTACCTACGCCTGCACTCACCGGTATCCCAGTTCTGGGCTCTCCAGAGAGATAATGGGGTATTTAGCCCCCAGCACCTTTGGGAAAAGCCATCTGATGGCTCGTGCTTCTCCCGTAACTGTTCTGAAAGGGGCTCATGAAAAGAACCACTGTCCAACTAGTTTTCCTATTAAGTAAGGCAGAAAGGGCACTCTGTAGGGTTGAAGGAATCAGAATTACTGGCCCCGTGAGGGCTCTTTGTCCCCAACAGAGGGGGAACTGACCGTGTTCAGAATCCAGATGGTTCTCACAATGTCCAGAGCAAAAGATAAAAGGTCATCCCTTCCAAAACCTGCTTTTTAACCAGAAAAGTTAATCCAACAATCACACATTAATCCATCAACCACCCTATCCTCAGAAATCAGAATGAGAAACCTAGAGTTTGACCAACAGCATCAATTTCTGCTGTGAAGAATGAAGGGAGAACCCTTTTCAGTGAATCATTCCATGAACTCTCATTTTAAGCACCTTCTCTCCTGGCTTGTGATTGTTTTCCTGAAGGAAGTGTAAAGAACGTCTCAGTTTGCCTTAAAGAACTGTGAAGGCTTCTCTGTAGGTTAAGCTTGATTGGAGTGAACTGAAACATTGTCTACTGTGTTTGTGGCTTTAGAGCTTTTGTTATATTGTGCCTATAAAGCAAATTATGTTTACATAAAAGATATAAATAAAGTATTCAGCATAGCATCTCCTCTTCTGGCATCGTTTACTCCACGTAAATAATTGTTGGATGAGCAGCCCCCTGTTGTGATTGCCAGGGATGGGTGACTGAGAAGAAAAATCAGAAACACAATTAGACATCCCTTGGTGAGGGCTAAAGAGCCCAAGGAGAAAGCAGGAGCTGAATTGAGGCAAGCTTTTAAAAAGACGTTTAGCATCATAAGTCCACAAGCTAATCCAAGTGTTAACCAGCTCGCTTAGCCGGTTCACGATGTTTCTCTTTCCAAACGTCATGTTGTACATGATAAATATATACAACTATTTGTCAGTTAAAAGCATTTTAAGACATTCAAATTCCCTCAAGCAAGAAAAGCACTGGAAGAAAGAGGCACTGAAAACATACGGATGCTGCTACTGATATTGGCATCCATAATAATAAAGCTGACAGTTATAACAGCAAACATGTGTAAGGCACCTACTGTTTGCTGCTGAAAGAGCTATGCGTGCACTAATTTTCTGACCATTATGCCCCTCCACAGATGACAAGGCAAGCACAGAGGGCTACTGCACTTGTCCGAGGCCACATAGCTAGTAAGTGCCAGAGCCAGGACTCACCGAATTCAAGTCAAATCTTCACCACCAGAATCTGTGCCTTTAACGGCTTATCACACTGCGTCATGCTCTAAATAAAGATAAAATCCAATGCATTTTCAATCACCATCCCTCCCTCAGTAGAAGTTCCCCAGGGATTCTGTTTCGCTCTGATTTCAAGGTTATACTTGTACATTTGTTTTGTTTTGTAGCAACTAATATGCATGTCGAGAAGATTTCTTTTATTTGTGGTCCTCCAGCCAAGTGCTCTGTAAAGTCCTGATTTTAAAACTCACACATCTCAACAGTTTTCATTTTTGTGATCTAAACTTCTCAAGGTTATCACAGAGATAGATAAGAGTACACTTCCAAGAGTTAGGCGCTCAGTAAGGAGGAATTTATCATGGGGAAGGCTGTCCTGTGTTTTACTATATTTCTCAGCCGACAGCCAACAAACTAGAGCCAGGCCTGTACCCATAAAATACCATAAAGCTGAACTTATGAAACTGAAGAGTTATTGCACCATCATGGAAATTCTTACAAAGTCACCATCCTAAGATCTTGGCATATTTTCTTTCTTATGGGATGTTTGTGCCCATTGCATGGATCTCACGGCCTCACAGAAACACTCTCAGGGCACCACCAGTCTGAACACAGCAGGGAAACCTGAAGTCCAAAGCCCATGTCTTCGCTCTTAACTCTGAGAATGAGAAAGAAAACTTCCAGCAGACAGAAACAAAAAGTATTGGATGAGGCTAGGATAGTAACGGAAGTCAGAATTTCCCAAGCCATCTGGGGTGCAGGGAAACATTGCTGGATGCGTGACAAGGGGAGAAAATTTGAAAGACACATTTGAGGAAGAGAGAACGATGTAGCTGAAACAATGTGCAGGTGGAGTGGAATGAGGTACAGGCATGTCGGGAAACTGTACCCAGTTGGAAGGTCTTTGAAAGACAAGCGGCAACCTAGGATTTCCTGGGAAAGGAGGAAGGCTGTGTAGTGGCATGAGGAGAAGCCTTGATGTGTAGGGACAATGGCAGGAACAGGTGCGGGGTTTAATGGGAGGAGAGAGGAGGTGAGCCCAAACGTGATGAGGAGTCAGACGTCGAATGACCTGACTGCTCCTGCCCTGGTGTGCGGCCTCCGGAGTCCAGCAATGAGACAAAGACTCAGGTGGAAGTAGAGCTTGGAGATGACCTCGAGAAGCGCAGATGGGAGGGAGGGAGAGAAGACGAGCCAATTCCAGGTGTGCCGAAGAGCAATGACCACTGCAAAGAACTGAGCGAGCGTAGGCCCTGGGTTTCCCCAGTAGGAGGGTGAAAAGCTGTCGAGCTCACCCATCTGTATCCGTCCCGACACAACCTCAGGTGAGGACCACTCCCAGCCGGGGAGCTGATTCCCTACCACTATCTTCCCCTTTGTGTGAACTGAGCACCTTGCTCTGCTCAGACCACGGCTTCAGGTGGAGCTCCAAGAAGCTATTAATCTGTAAAGGCAGGAAGGGGTGGAGGCGATGCCACAGCTCCTGCTATAGCTTGCTTGCCCAGGGAAGTCACTATTTATTCTATCCCCAAGAGGAAGCTTCAGGATTTCTACAAACTGTATCCCAGCCTTCTATCAACCCCTCCACTGCCAAGCCCAGCTACTCCATACTTCAGACCACCTCCTTCAGTTGGCTTTTCTGTTCTGTTAATTGGTCTCTTCACTGAAAGAGTTGAGTTTCCACTCAGAGGAGACCCTCCAAATGTTCTCCATCTGTAGCTGAACCAGTGACACACACCTAGAATCCCAGCTCTCTGAGAGGCTGAGGCAGAAGAACTGAGTTTGAGCCAGGCTGGGCAACTTAGTGACTTAATAAGACCCTGACTGAAATTGAAAAAAAAAGCTTGAATGTCACTCAGTGAAAAGTCCCTATATTCAATTCCCAGTACTAGAAAAAAAAAAAGTTTTTTCACCATCTGACCAGGATATGATACTTCACTGGGGCCTTCTTGATAGACTTAGGAGCTCTTCTTTACCGGGGCCAGGAAACATTCGGGGCTCTGTGTGACAGAGAGCTACATCCCCAGTCACTGGGAGCTACATCCCCAGTCCTTTATTTATTTATTTACCACACATCTGCTCCACCCTTAATGAAGATTTACTGGGTATTGGACTCTTCTACACCCTAGAAGAAAATAATAACCTTCCTCAAGAAATTCAGAATCTAGGGGCTGGGGATTTAGCTCAGCAGCACAGCGCCTGCCTGGCAAGCGCAAGGTCGTGAGTTTGATTCCCGGTACTGGAAAAAAAACAAACAAAAAAAAAGAAATTCAGAATCTAGAAATGTGACTCTCAATAGAAATAGAACATGACCTACATACACAGTTCAATTTTCTAGTCATCACATTGAACAAGAAAGGAGAAATCAAAAAATGTCCTTGTTTATTTGTTTGATTGGTTGGTTGGTTTTGGTGCTGTTGGGGATTGAGCCCAGGGCCTTTGCATGGAGCTACATCCCCAGTCCTTTTTTTAATGTTTATTTTGAGACAGGGTCTCATCAAGTTGTTAAACTGCCCACGCTGGCCTCAGACTTTCAATCCTCCTACCTCAGCCTCCTAGATTGCTAGGATTACATGTGTACACCACTGCACCTACAGAATTTAATTTCAATATAGATGACTTAGCACAATGTATAAAGAATGTTACCATCTTGACAGATATTCAAAGTAAAAATGAGATAGTTTAGATTCTAGTTTTCATATGAAGACTCTGGTGTGTATCTGATACAGCACCACTCCCTTTGGACTGAACACTTTGCAAATGCTAGGTCGCAGCTGTGGCTGATGGATCCCATTTTTGACAGGTAGGGCCAGAGGAAGAACAGAAATAGACACCGAGACACACAGTGTAGCTTCAAGGATGCGCTGTTGGGATGTAAGAAGGGTGTGAATCTCTCTGAAGGAAGGGGATGGCAGGAAAGGGATCCCAGAGTGTGCAGTGCTTGAGTGAAGCTTTGTTCTGTCAGCAGACACCAGTGTCTGGCACACAGGAGCCACTCAGTATTAGCGCCCTCTCCTTATCCCCATCTACCAGTGATGGGAAGAGTGGGATGCTTGGGAAACACTCAGTAGCTTCCTCCTCCTTTTTTTAAGTAACAGAGAATTTATAGATTCCAATATTTGCTTTCAAATTTATTTAGGGAGGGGGATACGTGTTTTGCATTCTTTGCCATGAGCAGAATGAGCTGAGCTCCTATTGTCAGCTAAGCAGAGATGCCAGGCATGTTCAGATTGGTTTCCAAAGCCCCAAAGGAGTAACTCAGCAGGAACAAGTGAACTAGCACCACAAAGGTATGTGCACCCACACATGAGAAGCGATTAAGAAACCAGGGTTCGAATTTGGGTGAACTGCTTAGCATCTCTTAGTAAAGTGGAAACAGATGGTCACATTAGCTGTCTCATAGAATTGTCATGTCAGTCAAATGTAACGTTGTGTTTTTAATCCAACTGAAACCACACCCGACAAGTTGCAGTCCATAAGGCAGATCACAGATGTCTTCAAAATGAGGGCTTTCATTCATTCAGCAAGCATTCATCAAATGCCCACCATGATCCTAAGATCACATTTTTAGTGTCTTAGCAGCAAAAATAAGAAATGCATAGACACTGTCAGGAGTTTATAGTTTAATGATGTAATAACATAGAAGTTTGATCCCTTGTGCAAATGACAGTTAATTTGTAGAGCCTGCCCTGGTACTGAGACCTTACATAAACTAAGTGGTGAAGAGAACGGCTTCATGGGGAAGCAAGTATGTCAGGAACAGATGTAGACAGTGGTCTAGGAGGAGTAGCTATCTTTAGGCACAGCAGTAGAGAAGCATAGCGTGGACGCATGGAATGGTCCACTTAGCTGAGGTTTGCATCTAAAGAAAAGATCTGAAATCAACAGGCATGGAGTGTGGGAATCTCTGATTATCACTTCAAGAGCTCTAGATTTTATACTAAAAGCAAAAGGATTTACCTAGTTAGAATGGTTTCAAGGAAGAGAAAATCATAGAAAATCTTTCCAAAATGAACTTCACTATTTTGCTTGATCCATCTGTGGGAGGCAGGAGAGTGGCCCCATATTGCAATCATAGTTCTTTGGAAATTTCCTTAGGCCTATTCATAGTCTTCTTGGTCAAGAGTTAAGGTGGCCGCTAAATTGGCATGAGTGAGAAGGAAGGAATGTTTTCCCCTCTCTACTTCTCTCAGGAATAATACAGGGCAGGGCTGGGGGTCCAGGCTTTTCCTGAGGAGGTGAAAAGTGTCCTTCATAGAAGAGGCCCCAAGAAAGTAAATTATTTTCCACAGGAGCCAAAATTAACACATGAAAACAATCCACGTGACATAGCCACGAACACCTTCAATGATTGGAGTTGTTTTCAAAAACATCAATCCAGTTCAGCGTTAAAT